CCACGTTGCTCGTTCGGGCTAAGCCCGGCCGGGCCCCATGAGGGGAGGCCCGGCCACCAGGCGCTCGCATTCGAGCCCCAACCCCGAGCCTGGCTCCAGGGTGGGACCCTGGCTGCACCATGCCGGGCGACATCACGGTCCTTGATTTTAATCTATTCATAAAGGGCTTTTGAACAGGACATTGCAAATCTGGCCACCATAACGTTGTCCATCTGCATCGGGCTGAGCTTCTCACTGAGCAGCTGCTCACTGTCAGCAATTTCTCTCATCCTACACTGTTCTCTATTTCCTTTTATCCGCTTACTTTTAGGATGACGTAACTTCTTCCTCAGCTTCAGACCTGAAAGCCTTCTCTCTGTTGAGTCCCATCAAACCAAATTGTGCACATATCTTATGATGTTGTGATGAGTGACAGGTGGTGATATTATCTGTGCTTGTCAGATGTACCAAATCAAAGACTGATTTGCACCAGTACCCTCAAAATCTAAATACAACTGGCAAGAGGAGAATGGCGTTCAGCGCTGATACCTATAGCACCTGCTGTGTTTTCTCACATCTGCTAAAAGTGTTTTTTTGTAAGTGTTTGAGTCACTCCATCACTCAGCCAGCAGCGGTCAGTCCTTCTGTCTACTGTTGCAGTTATGTTCTGAGCTCTGTCCAGATTTCTCATCTTCTCAGCAAAAAAGGTGTAAACTAGTCAAGTTTTGTCTTAAATCTGATGTTCCTGCCTTAATACTCAATAATGGCCTGCACATTTTCTGGCTCTTTAATTGTGCATTCAGTCCATTCTACTGACATGATGTCCCACAAGATGAGCATAATTTAACTCTGCTTTCCTCTACAGCTCCCCACAGATTCCCCCTATGGGCTCAGCACTCTGCTTCCTCCCTCTAACCCCCTTCAGACAAGTCTCGCTCTATATCCTTTTTTTTTTATTGTTAAATGCTCAGTGTGTTCAGCAGCATCCGACTTTTTGGTCTTTCCATCTGGTGTTTCTGCTGCTGCTGCAGTCGGGTGCAAAAACACCTTGTTAGATATACAGTACACATCTCCCGCTTACTACATTTTTAGTCTGCAAGCTTGAACTGCTGTGCTGCAGGCACTAGTGAAGTTGTAGTTTCCTTTAATTTTCAGTCCTGTTTTTTCTCTTTTCATCTTTTTATCTTTCCATTTCTCCCTGTCTGTTTTTCTCTGAGGGAGTTACATAAGTCTTTCTCTCTCTATCTCTGTGTGTGTGTGTGTATGGGTGTGTGGGCAGCATTGCATTTTATGTAAGGGGAACCTGGAAATGGCTAGCGAAACACCAGGGTCTGGCGCTCATTCTTTTGCTCTCTCTGCTTGTCATACAGCCTTGTGTGGTTGTGTGTGCTGCTGGGTCATTGGACTGTAGATCTGCACAGTGGCTGACTCCAGATATACGGTGGGGTGACTCTGCTGGCCCACTCAGTCACACACACTCATACACAACTTATTTTTAAAGTGCATCTTGAAATCAGATGCATTTGACTCCTAATGTGAAGATTCTGAAGCTTGTTGACTCGAGGTGCTCATGTGAAGTGTGTCTGTTTTGAAGTTGGGAATGGGAGTGTGTTTTTGACAGATGAAACAGTCAAGCAGAACAGCCACAAATGTTCCTTTACTATACTAGTAAATCTTTGTTCTCAGTGGCGGAAAGTACTTTACTCAAGTACTGTACAATTTCAAGATATCTATATACTTGAGTATTTTCACTTTGTGCTGTATGATTAGACTCATATAATCACTTTATTGATCTGTGGTGGAAAATTCACCAGCTACCCAGCAGCATGTAAAGTGCTAAAAATTATAAGCTACTTAAAACCAGCTCCAACATTAAATGTGGTGCACATAATAATGCGTCAATAAATATAATCCAATAATTGTATATGAATCTTAAATGTGCTATTCTGCATAATGAATACTTATATTTTTAGTACCTTAATTATGTTTTGATGCTAAAACTTTTACTTAACATTGTGAAGGCAGGACCTTTACTTGTAACAGAGTATTTTTGCACTGTGGTGTTGATACTTTTACTTACGTAAGGGATCGGAGTACTTTTTCCACCACCGTTTGCTCCCACACAGTGACTGTATCAGTCCTGACAAGGTATTTTTGTTTAAAAAAAATACTGTAATCAGTCAAGATGGCTCATAATGTGTCCCTTGCGTTTTGAAGTGGTTGCTACTTTAGCTAATAAACTAGTTAGCAGGGCATCCTAATGTGTGCATCTTATATTAGAGGACTGTTTATCTATTCCTTTTATATTTAGTCCTAGTGCTCTTATGGTTTTTACTTCCAAAGCTCAACAGACCTGCCCAGTCTAGTTTTGAAAGGTTATTCCAGAGAAGTCTTGCTTCTGCCATGACAAACCTGTGCCTGTTATGTAACACTGACCCCCCTCCTTTGAGTTCTGTCTCCTGTACTCCGATCCTGACTCCTCTAATACAATTTACCATCTGCTGGCGCACAGGTAACTGGTCTCCACAAGAGGAGGGAGAAACCTGTGTAAAAGTTGCCAGGGGGGTGATGAAAACTGTGGCAAACTCAAATGTGTTATTGATTGAAAACGATGTTCACAGTGCTTCCTCTAATACCACTGAAGCAGGTTGCAGGACCTGATTTCAGAGCAGCATTGCTCACAAATGATCTAAGGGAGAAAGCAACTAAAAAAAAAAAATGCTGATTATTAACGGCATCATTTTTTATTATTTATTTTTTTAGAAGAAGTGAAGTCACATAAAAAAAAAAAAAAGCTGCCTAGAAATAAATCACCTCCGCACCCTGGAAAACCAGTCACCCTTTGATCACACTGTGTGTGTGTGCGCCTGTTTGTGTGTACATATGGCATAAATGTGTGTTTTTACATGGTTGTGCATGCATGCGCATCTCCAACTTAGAAAGGGTGTTTCACTGAGTGGGAATGCCTGGTAGGATGTGTAGGCCCAGGTTTCCATGGCAACCATCTGCTGCTACGCTCGCAAGCGTTCGCCGTCAGCCCACACAGTGTGACATCCAGCAGCAAGCTAATCTGAGAGAGAGAAAGTAAATTTGTGATTGAATGTTAATATCACAAAGACCAAAATAGGGGAAACACACAGTTCAGACTGATTTGATGTTGTTTTAAGTACATATAAAGATTCATTTATGCAGAAAGTGTCAGTTCAAGCCCATTAAATCTGTAGAAATATGTTGAGTTTTTGTTGTTACAGCAAAGACAGAAGGAGGAGAGGTGTGCAGCATTCAGAGCAACACACTGAAGCACACACCAACACTCTGACAGATTATAGACGCAACAGAAGGATGTAAAGCTGCTTTTTGGAAATTTGAACTGAAGTTTGGAGAAGGATCATTTAGCCGCATAAAACTGGGTTTCTCCCTTGGTTTAGGAGTTAAGATTAGGACTGTAACCACTGATTACTTTCATTATCAGGTTTTTCTTTCTGGATTAATCATGTGGTTTATAAAGTCTCAGTTAAAAATAACACAATTTCTCACAGCTGTAGTTTTCTAAAGCCAGATGTAATGAAAATGTCTTAGTATAAAATCCAAAGTTATTCAGTTTTGGACTGTTGGTTGAGTTATAGTCTGAACAAAAGTGAACTGAAACTCTCATCAGCAAAATATTATACTAGAGTTAATGGCTGTAGCCTAAACACAACACGGCCTTATTAAAAAGATGTACAAAGGAAATCTGTAGGTATGAACCCAAGTTTGAGGGGAACTATTATTCAATGTGAAATACATCGGAACATTGCTACAGTTATTAAGATATGAAACATGGCAGTTTATGGCAAGAGTTTCACATAACAAGGGATGCAACTTTTACTATTTATTTGTGAGTTTCTTTATGAAACCTGGAAAAAAAACAACAATAATAAAAGCCAGTATTTGAAGTTATAATAAATAAGTTTTTGTACAATAAAATCTGTGTTCCAGATGCAGGAAGTGGGCAGTAGCCAGCGAGGCTCACAGCATGCCTTCAGTGTCCTCGATCGTCTACTGGTCACACATCCTGTGTGGCTGCAGCTGTCACTCAGCCGAGACTCTGCCCTCTACATCCTGCTCCGAGAGCCTGTTGGGGTGAGGCTCAACCATATTAATCCAGGAATATGGAAAATGTCATCCATTGATGTTTTTACAATCGTATCTCAAGTGCATGTTGCCAGTTTTCTACATAAAACAGTGGGACCTAGTAGATTTATCAAGACAACTTTAAACTGCAATAAGCTTTAATTTTCCCAAATGTGACAGTAAAACATTCGTTCATTTTCACCAGTGACATTAAAAATATAATTGAACTTTTTAGGGAATATTAATAATCTGTTTAAAACATCAGTAGCAGTAACAATTGCAGTTGCTCTGAGCAGGGGTGGCCGTAGGAAATTTTGGACGGGGTGGCCAGGCCATTGTTTAAGATGGGCTATGCTAATCACATCCCGGCTCGAGCTCTGTTTTTAAAAGATATGAGGGTGAAATCAGTCTTCTCATCTAACTAACTCTTGGAAAAACAATGAAAGGCTAATATCCCAAAATGTTAAATTCCATAAAGATTTAATTGGAAGTAATCAAAGTTGACATTAAAGACTAAAGACTTGGGCTGTAAAGAAATGTTTATTTAGCTATTTGGGATTTACGTTGCTGTTGGTACTATCTGTGTGTTTCTCTTGAGAAGTCTGTGGAAAAGGACAATAACATCCCTGTTCTTCATTCCTGTTTTGTGGTGGTTACTGCTGCTTGCAGACATTTTTAGTGCGTAAATGCAGCTCCAGCCAGAGGAAAGTGCTGTGTTTTAGAGTGACGGCGGACAGAAGTGTCTCCTCTGTTAAGGAGTGCTTCGTCTGTGAGGAGGACTCCAGTGAGTATAAAACTAACTGGATTAACATGTATTATCCACCAGCGGCTACAGAAGCACTCACACATCTTCTCTGCTCAGTGTTTTTGAATGCAGTGTGGTTCATACACTTAGTGGGTGAAGTGAGGTTGGACAGTGATGATGGGTCCTCCAAATTATTTTCAGCACATCATTTCTGTTAAATTGTAACGAGTCTCCCACTGCCACCATATCTGTCAATCAAACTGTCTGTTCTATAAGCAGCATTCGCCTTGGAGAGCTCAGCACTAGGCTTCCCCGATTTGTGTCGTCTGGTGGCCTTCTATTGCATCAGCAGGTAATGCATTACACTAACTGATACACATTATAGATTATATATGTGGCAGCAGTTAGTGAAAGGCCCATTCAGGAATGGGCCTTTCAGAGCATCAGCATGACAGTGCCCCTGTGCACAAACCCCTGAACTTGATAGGCCTAATGTGCACAGAGCCCTGGCTTTGTTACCTTTGGGATGAAATGATTGCAAGTCAGGCCATATAATCCACTGGACCTCACTAATGCTCTTGTGGCTGACTGGAAGCAAACTCCTGCAGCAAAGTTGTAAAATTTTGTAGAAAGTCTTCACACAGGGAGGTAGTAGTAGTCCAGGAAGTATGGGTGTAGCGGTCTGATGTACATGTACCCTGAGCGCACTTTTTTTTTCTTGTCTACAGGGATGTGTTGCCTTTCCCGCTGCAGCTACCAGAGGTCATCGCTAAGGCCACAACACAAAGGCAGCTGGAAGCCATTTCACACATGGGACAAGGTACAGTCAGTGCAAACAAGATGCATTAGTTTTTTCACAAGTCCTAAAAAAAATGGGTACTTTTCCTTTTACCTACGGCTTTAAAGGCAGGATCAAATGGTCGGTTATACCTATGGCTTTAAAGGCAGGATCAAATGGTCGGCACACCACTTGTCTAGACAAATGTATCTAAACTGTTGGATGAATATTTCTCAACCCTGCAAACAAATGGAAAACACACTAGCAAGAAAGGATAAAAATTGTCAGCATGCACACAAAAGTAATTTACACATTATTTTGGTAGGATACATGAGATTTAGTAAAGTTCCTCTGCAATAATCTTTCTTGCAAATGAGCTGCAGGGAATAAAAATATGTTTTGAGAACAAGATCACTGAGAAGAAATAAAAGTTACACATTGAAACTGTGAGACAGTAATCTAATAAGTGACTAAAGGCTGTCAGCTTGCATCTATTTTAACATGGTGCTGTTGCAGCACAGTAGCAGAGAGCAAGGTGTGACTTCATGATGGCTAAAAATGTCACATAACTAAGATGCAGTATGTGTCGATGACTGCAGCTCAAGCATTACCAGTCTTTTGTTAAAAATCTGTCTGTGCTTCAGTCAGATCACAAAAAACATTTTATTCTTTTGTGTGACATTTAGTTTGCATATTGTTTTTATTCCTCTGTTTTATAAGCACAAGAAGTAGCTGTAGGTTTAACATGGATGAATCCTTAACTGAAACTCTTGGTAACTGAAACCCTGGGTATCTAATCTCTCCTGTTCTTGGATCTCTCACTAGATTTCTGGAGCTCACCAAGTGCTTCGGAAATACAGAACGGACCGGTGGACCCAGCAGCATCAACCAGCAGCCAGGCTCAGACAGTGGTGACGGAGGACCAATGTACCCTGTTGACCCAAAGCAGACAAGGCAAACTATGCTCTGCAGCTGGAGGTTAGCAAGGTTAGTAACAGAAGTGTGGGGTTATTTTAGCTCTAACATCTTCCTGAGACCATTTACCGATGGGATCTTTATAGGATGTCAGAGGAAGAACATCCAGATGAATTGTGTTTTTAAAATGTGTGGAAAAAAGTCAGCCAAGTGTTGTGCAATTCAAAGAGCCAGTGTTCTTGCATGGTGAATTCACTTCTCCTTTCTCCAGCAACCACAACTCGCCAACCACAGTGCCTCTAATAAACGGCACCGTTTCAAGCGAAGCATGCGGCTCCGGCTCTCCGAGTCCTCCATGAACCTGTCCCTTGAGGGGGTCGGCTCCTTCTCACCTCCCCCGTCAGTGGAGCAGCCCGGTGGGTCAGAGAGGCTGCAGAAGGCTGACACTAACCCTCAGAGGAGAGTTCATGCTGGGGCAGGGGTCTTGAGGAGAACCCCCGCTGTGTCACCAGGTTCTGCAGAGGAAGAGGACATGCCTCCTGTCTATGTGCCGCAAGTAATAAGTTTTAGTATCGTTACTTGTCTTTCAGACCATACCTACACTGACATTTGAGCACTTAATTTTTTGAGACTTTCTAAAATGGTGGTAAAAATAAATAAGTCGTGTATCAAAAGACAATTAACAAGATTCTGTTTCAATGTGGACGGAAGGCTGAAACGGCGAGGAAAAATATGTTTCAAATGTATCTGATTTGTTGCGCATGTGATCTCTCTGTCTCAGCCAAGGTGTAATTGGAAATATTAGGGCTGTGAATATTTGGAAGTTTACAAACTCATCTGGCAGACATTTTAATGTTTTTAATGATACTAACGACCATAAGTGCCTCAAACTAAGCATTTTGTAAACTCAAGTCATCTGGTACTTCAGGTTAGTCATGCAAAGACTGGGGAATAAGTTAAAAACCACCTCAGAGGTCTTATTATTCATTTAACTGGCAGCTTCTTTCAGTCAGTTCCCCTATTTACTTACTAGAAAGCTGTTCTGTGACTCGTACACTAATACTGTTTGTGCACACACCTAAAAAATTGTCATGCTTTAAAATTATCATATCTTTCCTGGTCAAGACATCTGCCAAGGTAGAGGAGCCTCCAAAGCCCCAGCAGGTAGCCCCAGCAGAGGAGCCGGGCATTGAGGTGGCAGTTCTGGCCCTTGAACGCCGCCCAGCTCCATCCCTGGCTGAGCTGGACAGCAGCAGCTCCTTCAGCAGCATGGATGAGGACAATGACTCTGATTCAGATCCAGAAAGCATGACCCAAACCAAAACACACACCTACTTTCGTCCCCCACTTGTGCGCTCCCGAGGCCGCGGTGGGCTGCACCGCATGAGCGAAGCGTTTGTGTGTTTCTTTGCTCCGGACAAGCGGCTGACGCGGCTGGTGGAGGAGTTGTCCAGAGACAGGCGTTCCATCTTTGGAGGCATGGTTCAGGACTTCCTCCTGGCACAGAGAGAGGTGCTCAAATCTATGACCTCGTCTTCTTCTTCTTCGTCTTCTTCCTCATCACGCGTGACCTCTGTGCAGCTCCTGCAGAGTCTGCGGCTCTTCCTGTCCCAGGCCAAGTCCTGCCTGCTGGACAGCGGAGAGCTGGAGCCTCCTATTGAAACCCTGGTGCCAGAGAATGAGAAAGGTAAATGAAAATAAACCTGGTAAATGTGTCAACACACCATTTTGCTCACATCAGAATAAAGCACATATTTGAACCATAGCATGAACCATGACATTCAGATGTGGACTGATATAGATATGTATCACTGTTGAACTGAGGCTCAGTGGGTTTTCACTTCCAATCCATGTCGCCAAGATTGCCCCTATTTTGTAATTTTATTCAAGTAAATGCAAGTTAATCCCACTGTAGCAGATGAATATAACTCATTTTAGTTTGATCTGGTTTTCCCCAGGCTGATAATTTACTTTCATTTGTTGAAGAAATTGGAAACTGAATGTGCCAGTTTCTCTCCAACACTGCCTCGCACACAACAAAACAAATATTCACACCTGGGAGCTGCCCAGTACTTCCAGTTTTTCACTGTGGACCACCAAGTCTCTGGATCAAGTTAGTTTTTTTTCTTTTCCACTTAATAACAAAGGGAAATAATACATTTGAAATCTTGTTCCTTTGGATCTACATTTAAAAACAGTACTGGGGTTTAACCATTTGCAGTCTCCTCCTGCACAGCTTGCTCTGTCTTTTTATTTATCTTTTTGGCTAAGTCAGGATTTCAGTGGGAGGTTTTGGCTCTTCTAGCTGGACTGTAGAACAGCTGGATAGAATAAATGAACTGAAAGCATGTGGAATACAAACCATTCACTTTGATTCCTGAGCTATAGGAGATAGAGTTTTTACAGCCTGTCCGCCCAAACACGATTTTTTTTTTTAATGCTTAAGGACATACACATTGATCGGACTTAACATTATGACTGCCTGCCTAATGTTGTGTTAGTCACCCTTCTGTAGCCAAAACAGCTCTAACCTGTCGAGGCACGGACTCCACACACCTCTGAAGGCATCCTCTGGTATCTGGCACCAAAACGTCAGCAGCAGATCCTTGAAGTCCTGTAAGTTGCAAGGTGGGGCCCCCGTGCATCGGACTTGTTTCTCCAGCACATCCTACATAAGCTCAATTGGATTGAGATCTGGGGAATCTGGAGGCCAAGTCAGCACCTTGAACCATTCCTGGGCAGTGTGGCAGGTGCATTATCCTG